CGCGGGGAGCCGGCGCTGCAGGCCGGGCTGCCTCCCGCGGCCGAGCGGCGACGAGAGCGCGCGTCTGCTGCCGCAAGAAGCCATTTGGATGGGATGTGCTCTATTCCTCACGCTCCTGTCTTTTTGTCTCCACAGAGCATGTTCAAATGAGGCACCTTAGCAACCTCTGTGTTAGTGCATATGATGGTGCTGTAATCTTCTGTGTTGTAAAGTGGGTAAAAATCATCCAGTTTCTCCTCGGTTGGACCTCGAAGCCGGGTGTCGTTTATGCTCTCCTGTTATCTGCACCCTCTCTTCTCTCAATGTGGATTTAAAGAAGCAAGCACCTGTCTTCTCTTGCCACTGCATTTTTAAAAGCCAAACTTTCCATGCCATTGTAATCGTATGTTAAGAAGGTACGTGACATAACACACTGACTTCTAGTGATGCCGAATTCTACAATCCGGGCAGTTTTGTCAACAAGATTTAATGCACTTTAACTGAAGAAAAAAACTGAGCCTAACTGCAAATGTGTTTCTTATGGTGCTGAAATATCCCTTCCGACTGCACTGAGATAACCACAGGAAAGGGCTTTTACAGGCAGAAGTCACCTTTGATTGTTGCACTTAGCAGTCCCCGTGGACTTAAATTTTGGTACGTACATGTTTTTCACCATTCTCTGAGCATGCTGATAGAATATAGCTAATGAGAATGAGGAACTGTTTTCACACAGAATGAGATAATGACTAGTCAGAATATCAGATGATGAAGTTTGCATGTCTTTTGGGGAGGTATTAATCTTGGCATTGCTAAACTAAGCAATGCTGAAGTCTGGCTGTGTACTTCACATGTTGATAGTGCTTTAATATCCATGTTTTGCAATTGGATGTTGCTGGTGGGGGAAAAAAGGAGCTTTAAATATTTTAAAACATTCTTTCCTATTTTCCTGTTGATTTAATTGAAGTAACTTACAAGACACACTGCATCATTAATATTTTACAGCATATGTAAATGTGCTTAATATGATTCTGGTAGCAGTGAAATCTCCATTTCATTTTCTTAGGGAGAAAAATACATGCAGCCACAGGAGCATCATTCTTTTGAGTTCAAATGCAGTGCAGTTTTCATGGAGTGTATGTGTGTGTGTATGTATGTGTGTATACATGTGTGTGGTTTTATTTCTTCTGGTTATTCATAAGAATTTCACATAAAATTGGGATGAAAAAGTGTCCTACATATACCTAAGTGCTGACCATTCTGAAGCTAGATTTGCAATGTCCAGCATCGCCGTGGTTAGGAGGAAGCATTATTTTCCTCCAGGGACAAAAGTGAGAGAAGTGTTGAGTTATTTGAAAGTAAGCAGCAGCTCTTTACATTCTGGAGTCATAGAGGAGATGATATTAGCCAAGACCTTTCTCCTCTCCAAAAGGCACTATGAAAGGATCTAAAATTCAAGGCTCAGTGAGTGTTTTTTCAGTTCTTAAGACTCTAGGTAGAATAACCTTACCATATGAAGGGCATGATATCTATAGAAATGGACTGTTTCTTTAAGCTCACATGGTGTCATTTTCATCCTACAGAAGGAGCCTCTTTTAACCTCCCTTAGTGAAAGGCTTGGCAGCACTTGGCTTCAGTGATTTCACCCAGGTGCTAGAGCTCGTGCTGTGCAGTATAATGAGGAAAAGGTACCTACTCTGTGATCCCAGTCAAAATACACAGCTATATTTTATAATCACAAATAAGTGTAGTGGTTTATTGTTGGTGGGTTTTTCCCCCTTTTAAATATGTTTGTGTTGGAACTTCCCCAAAAATATATAGTAAGAAGCTGGCAAGCTAATTGAGATGATTTTTTTTCTCTCTGTTTGACATTATAGCTTATAGCTTAATGTATCACTATTTGTGTAATTCGAGCTCACTGCTAAGGACAAGCAGGTAATGCAGCTCTCAAAAGGATGCTTATCAATCTATCTAATCACACTGAGCTATTTGGGAATTTCAAAGCTCACTTAGGACACGATTATGGTAAGAGGCAGAGTTCAGGAAGTAGCATCTAGTATATTTTTTTATCACTGAATTTGTCTTGGTTGAGGAGAAAGTATTCTGTATACACCCAATACCATTACGGCCTTATTAGTGCTGCTGTAGTCAGCGCTTTGTGAACATTGGGCATGGAAGTCTCCTTTGCACTTGCTGCTGTGCGAGCAGCTAGAATGCAACAGCACCAACTCGAAGGCTGCATGGCTCGTTAGCATCCTGGATTTGTACAGGGTCCTTCCAAAATACTGAATTTAATGGAGGGAAATGCTAGCAAATGTGACAGGGAATGTGCTGTCAAAGAGGATGCAGCCTTTGGAAAGGAGGAAGGCAGGACTGAGGATGTGCGTGCACCTCTTGTAAATCAGGGGTTGGATTCGTGACGTGGGGTCATGGGCAACTTCACTGCTGTATTACCAGGCTCTAGTTTCCTACGTTTAAAAAAAAATAAAAAAAAGGAAAAGAAAAAGAAACAATCTCTTTTCTTTGGGAAGAAGCAATCAGTGCCTTTGTCGTTACTCCATGCAGCTCCTCAGTCTCGTGTCAGCAGTGCCAGCTCTCAATGCAGCACAGCTGCAGCTTCTGGCTGGCAAGCGTGCTGAAAAGCAAGTGATGTTTGGGGGGTCCTCATGTGAATGAGAGGAAGAAGCACATCTCTGAATCCTATGGAATGGTGCTCCTGGGATACTGTGGTATTAGGCTCATTGCTCCTATGTTCTTACTTCAACATCTTTGCATATTGATCCTGTGAAAAGGGGATGTTTTTGGATTTTAACTGAGATGCTGTAGATCTGGCATCAGAGCAAATAGTTAAGTGTAAGCTAGGCGGGTCTTGTGAAGCGCTGTGCTGTTCTCCCATAGAAATTGTCGGAATCATTACAAAGATCTTGAATTTAGTTATGGAAAATCCGGTTGGGGGCGGCTCGGCCTTGCCGTGACCCAGCTGCACTGGCAGGGAGGGCCGGCGCGCTCCCGGGGCCAAGGACTCGCGTCTTCCCCGACAGCAAAACCAACGTGCGGAGCAGGGACTCCCTTTGGGCAGGCTCCGGCCTCCAGGTCGTGTCAGATTGCTCACACCTGTTACAGAGCTTGTGTGTTCTAATTAATCTGTGTACATTTAATAAATGTACTGGTGTTGAAAAGACCAGTGGGCAGTTTTGTAACAAATATAGGATTATTCAGTGTGCATATCAAGTAGAATATATGTCTACTTATGGGGAAAAAAAAAAGCTCAGATTTTTTCACTGCTTCAAAATCTTCTAGTTGGTTGTATGGAAAATGCACATTACCCAAGAGTTGATGGTGCTTTCGGGAAAGCTGGAGGGTCAAGGTGACAATAAGGGTGGTGATTTCTTCCCAGTCAGGTTTCTTGTAGCTTTCGACCGACCCTCAAGAGTGTGTCCTTGTGCTCAGATGAATTGACAGAAAGGTTTTTTGTTGGCCTGTGATCACAGCCAAGTGCCTCAGATCAATTTCTGCGGCCTTCTCGGTAGGTTGGCTTCAACAGCAGAAATCCAGGGTGTTTCATCCTCTCCATCTCCTCCTTTCCTCTCATAAGGAGGAGGGGAGGAGGAAAGAACATCAAAAGACCTTTCCAAACAGAGCAACTCCAATGTTGTTGATTTCCAAGGTTGCTGGTCTTCAAAAAACCAAAACATGCTGCAAGCAACTTGATTTCAGACGCAGGTGCCCCTGTATGGTTCTTGTTGCCAGCCAAGAAAATATCTGAGCAGAACATGTGTATTTGGGGTACTCTAAGCCTTACCTACAGCCTACATTACATATTTAACAATGGGCGTTTGCATATTTTTAACACCATGAGGTTGTAAAGTGGGAGAAGTTGGATGTGGGAGAAGTCCAAGATCTGATCCCGAAAATACTCGCTGCTGCTCTTGGTGCTTTTCCAGGTTAATAGCAGAGAGCTTTCAAATCCTGAAATCTGCTGCCAGGAGCCCCCTGGCAGAGATCTGCGTCAGGAGGGTGCAGACTCTGCCCCTCGCAGAGGGTTCGGCACCCGCAGGTGCACTTAGGCCTCTTGCAGGCGTGGAGCTCTCTTGGAAAGAACGATGTGCTCTGCTCTGTTTATCTGATACCATATAAATCTGCGGCATTCGCCATTAGTTTAATAATAGAAAGTATCAGTGATAAACAGTGTACAAAGTAGCTGGTCAGTGCATGCACCAGAAAAAAAGCCTTTTATTTTAGCCTTTTCCAAATTGAAATGATGGTGGCATTGAATTTTAGAGTAAGAGTATATCCTTAATGGACAGCTCATTATAGACCTCCAGAAGGAAAAGGAAAATGGTGGGGAAATTGGTATTATTGTCATAAAAGTGTCTGTGAAGCGGATCAAGTTTTGTTTGCCTTGGGAAAAATAGATCAGCAGTGTGTTTATTGAAAGCCTACTGAAGTTATCTTCAGTATCCAATTTCCTATTATATTTCAGGAGTAAAATCTGGCCCTTGGAGAAATTAGTGGCAAAATTGCCTTTAAGGTCACTAGACTTGGATTTTTCTGTTTTACAGGTTAAATGAATTTAATTGAACTTACTGTGAATACAGAAGCTAGTCTATACTGCAAGTCTGAAAGGGAGGATGCAATGAAATAACCATCTCCTGGGGAAGTTGTCCAGGTTTTATACCTCAGGAAGCAGGTACCATTTGGGAAGTTTGAAGGCTTTGGCATCAGAGCTGTCTATGCCATTAGTGTTGTATGTAATCAGGCTTCATGCTGTAGACAGAGAGACTGCCAAGTAGGGACTATGGTATCTAGACTTGCTTTCGTTACTCAAAATAGTTAAGAATCAGTCCAAAATGATTTCCATGGAAACATCAGCAAATGAGTGGAATCTCTTTAGCCCGTTAAATTGCATGCAGGTACGCTGGGCTGTGCCAGAACCTCCTTTACTGGTTGTACCCCGCTGCGATTATTAGAGGAAAATGGTACCCAGACCTGCTAATAATACATTAAGATGAATCCGTGACCCTGCAGATCAGCCTAATGCTGGTACTTGGGCCCAGCTGATGGAAAAGGTCGCCCTGGGAGGCAGGAGGAAACAACGAGAGCAGACCCTTTGCGTCCTCTGAGTCTTCATGATTTTAACGGTCAGTTTTACCATTGCACAAAAATGATTATGATTTAGGAACACAGAGAAAAGGGAAAAATTATTTGTGTGCTTTAAGGATTAATTGCCTGAAAACAGCTTGTTGTTGCCGTTACCACTTCAAATATTCAAAAGGAAAAAAATAGTAGAGGATGGAAAATTACTACTGCACCCTCCTCATCCCCTGCAGATTGCTTGCTCTGGAGGTTTAAGAGCATTTTGCTCTGTGTTCAGGGCTTTGCCTGAAGGCCCACAGTGACTGCTAGAGTCTATCAGAGCATTTAATTTTATTTTTCAGGATTGGCCTACCCAGATGAGAATTTTGCTCCTCCAGCACATGGAACAGTGCTGTTCTAAAGATTAGAAATACCACAGTGTATTAGGAAATGGAGGGTAGAGTTTTGGTGCTGATCGGAGGGGCTCTGCCCGTAAAGCCCGTGCGCAGGCAGGATTTCTCGCTGCCGCCTCAGTAAGATGGCTCGTGGTGGCGGCGCTGGCATCGTTCTGAGGCTGCTTCCGAGAAGCCGCATCCTCCTCTTCCTCCGGGGACCGGGGAGACAGGCAGGGAGGGAGGGGAGGAAAAGGCCTCACGGCTGCCTTCAGCCAGCGGCTCGCGCTGGGTCGAGTCTGCGTTTGACATGAGGGTCACACGGGGTCTGCAAGGTGATGGTGATCATGTACTTTAAAGATACCTTAAGATTTCAGTACCTTAAAGCAGAGAGGCTGTAGTCAGCATTTGCAGTAAGATTGAGCGTTCCGGCATTGCTGTCTTATACCATTCTTGTGTTACTAAAGGTCCATTTGTACTTGTTTAATGCATAGTTAGTCCAGTTTTATCAAATCTTGCTGATCTAGCTATGTTTCTCGAAAGAACTACACCTCGCTTCCAGGCACCTGTGATCCTCCCTGATGTGGGCCTGCAGCAGAGCTCCTGCAGCCCCCAGGGTGCAGCTGCTGGGTGCAAGGCCAGGAGGGCCTTCGGGGAGCTCCTAGGCTCCCTGCCATGGGGCCAGTGATGCAGGGAGGTAGGTATTTCTGCTCTGTGCTGCTTAGCTGAGGGTGGGGTAGATCCAAGGGCTTCGCATTTCTGTTGAAGAAATGTGGGAGCTGGAGAATTCAAGTGCCTTAGTGATCTGAAGGTCTCAGCCCAGCTAAAATTTCTTGGCTGTTTTTGGAGCTCCGAGCTTAGAAGCTGTTTTTCAACAGATGACCAGGAGCTATCAGGCCCAAATCAATGTTCTTAAGAAATACAGAAAGATGTCTTTTTAGGTTTTGGACCTGCAGAAACTTGATGTTTTTGCATTCCAAAAAAAATGTAATGGTATTTTCTACTTGAGCTTCAGAATATCCTATTGAATAGGAATTTTGTCTGGTGATTTGCTCTGGTGTGGGTTTTCCTAAATTGCAAAAGGGACCTGTGGTTCTTGTTTGGAACTCTTTACAATTCAGTTGAAGCTGAGTGTTGGAAAAGCCAATGTCTCTGCAGCTGAGGAGGGATAGGAAATGGGAAGCGCTGCAGTAAGGCCTTATGATCCACATAATCCATGGGATTTGAACCTTGTCTGACTGAGTGGATCTGCATTGCTTGAAAGAAGAGGCTCTTGATTTTTACGTTCTGTTGTTTCTCTTTACAGTAACCTGGTTGCGTGTCCTGAACAGCTTTTGTCTATTGTGTTTTAGATAGACAGATAGGAGACTGTCTCCTAAAAAGTTCTCTCTTACAGAGATGTGCTAATTATAGTTGATACAATCTTTGCTGTCACAAACCGTAAACTGTTTCCTCCTGATGAAGGTATTCATGTCTTTTCAACCTGCAGGGAACGCTGCTTTCCTTTGTTCATTATCTCCGGCAAGATGATGAGTTCTAACCAGGAGGAGGTCACTTTGGGCGCTTTTCTCCAGTATATTGAAGATATGGGGATGAAGGCCTACGATGGCTTGGTTATACAGAATGCATCAGACATTGCTCGAGAGAATGATCGCATGAGGAATGAAACAAACCTGGCTTACTTGAAAGAAAAGAATGAAAAACGCCGAAAACAAGAAGAAGCAATAAAACGGTAAGTGTCTGGATAAAAAGATGCCTGGTCTAGCAGTGTAAATGAACAGCGGAGAGTTTGTTCTCAGCTGTGGCAAATGTGTAGACCGGTTGGCTTCTAGGCTGCCTCCTGGTAAAAGCCACACAGGCCACTGGCACATGTCAGTCCTGCCCACCTTGGTGATGGAAAATGCTCCCATCTACATGTAATCAGTTAAAAAAAAAAAAAACCAGGGGTGTTTTTTGTAAAAAAAAAAAAAAAAAAAAAAAAAAAAAAAAAAAAAGTGTGTGCGTGTGTAGAGCTATCCTGTATGATAACTCCTGTATTGATGTGTGAGCCCTTGCAGGACGGGGACAGCTTCACAGATCAAAATGGAGTCTCCTTGAGCTGGTGTCTTAAATCTGTTAAATTTAAAGGTTTTTAATTGCTGTCTGAGAATTTACAAAAACATGTTATTTATGACTTTATCCTGCACTCCCTGAAGCCAGTAAAAATAATTTAAAAAAATACAATCATTTAAAGGAAAATGGATCAAGCCCCTGGCGGGCACAACCTTGTAATGGTTTCTTTAGAATAATTACATCAGTTCTGCTTGATAGTTAACGAGAAGAGGGCTCATGTTACTTGGTCTCTTGTGCCAATGGGTAGCAATGAAATCTCTTGCTGCTTTTGGGAAGAAGGATGAATGGTATACATACATACATTCATGTATATGTGTACAAATACAGAGCGCACAAATCCAAAACTTGCATTTTCTTGGAGAGAGACAGATTTTATAACACAGGTAATCACGAGTGCTAAATGTGTATGCAAATGAATGGCTTGAACAGGAGCTGTTTAGTGGTCCTGTGAATTTTTCTCCCAGCGTGAATCCTCTGAATTGCAGTTTGTGATTCAGGGTGATGCAGTGTCTTGAACGCTGTACAGCCAGGAATAACAGGCATGGAGTGCTGTGGGTGTTCCAGGGACACCTCAATAGCTTGGTAATTTTGATGGGGTGTTAAAAGCAAAAGAGCAGCACATCCAGTTTTCTGGGAGGAAGAATAAGGACACAAAGGTAAATTATGGCCATTTTACATTTCAAGAAGTAGAATTTTCAGGCTACTCATGAGCTCCTTTCTGGCAAGGGTGTGGAAAATAATATGAAATTAAGGTAAATAAGAGTCAATGCAATGTGCATTTTGGAATCTTCTGGCACTCATATTTTGTCAGCTCTTTTTGGGTGATATTTAGAGAGATTCACATGGTTTGGGAGTCAAAGGCAGAGAGGTTCCTTAAAGCAGCAGCTACACTGTGTATGTCTTCATGAGAAAAACTTTCTTCCTGCAGCAAATTGATGTACAGGTTTGGGGGTTTGATCTATGCTGGCTATGTGCTTTGTTTCATTCTTGCCATCTTTCTTCAGTGTTCCTGGGAGGGAATGCCAGAATATAGGTGTCAAAGATAAGTAGTATGTGAAGCCATTTTTTTCTTCGTAGCCTTTTTTTGGCTAGTGAACAGTTATATTGTAAATGTTTCAAGAGGAGACCCACTTCAAAGCAGTCCCTGATCTGATGGGGGCAGTCGTCATATTTCTGCTACATAAAGCAGAAGAGAGGTTTCAATCTGCCTCTCTTGCTGCTAAGCAAAAGTGCTAGTCAATAGACCGTTTCTCGAAGCACTGAGATGAAGAGCACCTTCCACTGGTAAATTGTTGAATGCACTTAAAAATCCAAACTAAAATAGCAAATACTTTGGCTTGGCTAACACTTCATTTTTGATTAATTTATTGTTGGCTGCAAAGATAAATTGTGGCAACACAAGGCACAACAGCACGTGATTCCAGGTAGGTGTGACTGTAATGGACGATAAAGCTGAAGTAGGCTTTGTTATAAATAAGTTTTATATGAATTTTAGAGGTAGGAGTTTTGGACACAGCCAGTTTTCTATGTGCCTCTGGCTAAGCTTCTTGAACCTCCTTTGACCATTCGCTGAATGGCGGTAACACTATTTGCTACCTTGTGGTTGGTTTATGTGGCTTTATGTATTGATCTTGGCAAAGTGATTTGATAAAGAGCTCTGGGTGAGTGCGGATGATTCAGGCAAAGCCAAACCAGGCAATCTTTGCTCGTGCAAAACCTTTGAGATTACTGAGAAGAGAGTGGATGCAGGATACAGAGCCCCCGGACGCAGAGTCAGAAGATGCTGTGATGTGAGCAGCAAGGAACAAAGCATTAGCTGGAACTTTTATCCCTCCTTTCCACCTCAGGGTCTGAGCAGGCCAGAGCAGTGCTTGTGTGAGCTTGGAGCTGTCATGCCTTGGTTTCTGAGGAGATCCGGGTAGCCTCATCTCCTGTGGCCTCCTTTGGCAGGAGGACACTTCTTCCAGGCTTGCTGACTCCTGCAGGCACTGCCGCAGTGCAGGGAGGTGCCCAATAACACAGTGGCTCTATCTGAGGAACAGGGTGGATGTGTATGTACAGATTTCCTGCAGAGAGCTCTGCTCCATGGGAACCCCCTTGGTCTCCTGCTTGGCTCAGCTCCTTCACATGGAGGAGGGAACACTCTTCCAAGAGAACCTTAGGAATACTTATCTTTGCTTAGCTTCTTTCTCCATCTTTTCCTTTGTTAAATTGGGAACAGAAAGGACAAGAAGGGAAAGGAGTTATTGATGACCTACTTGATTAGGAAACCTAAAAACAGTGATGGACCAAGGGAATAACATCACATTTGACTAAAGAAGCAGTGACATCTAAAGTCGTTCAGGCTGATTGCAAATGATATGCTCCCCATGGGAACCTCCAGAGATTCATCCAAGACTCTGATATCCATGGCAGTCAGAAAAGGTAAAACAGCCTTATTGATTTGTTCTTTGTTCTGAACAATTTTCCTCACCTTATCTTGATGGGCACTTAAGTTATCCCTAACTCCTGATAGCAGTGCCCGTGTGCAGCACTGCACAGTGTGGAGACCAACACCTGCAAGAACCACCATAGCAAGAAGAGTGGTTGCCTGTCATTAACCACACGAGGATCTTGAGGAGGACTAGGAGGTCCAGCAAATACCCTTCTTTTTTGCTTGGAGGGATCAAATAAAACAGCTATTAGCCTTTGGCACCTAAGAAGATGCAGAACTGAAAACCATGCAACAGGCTGATTGCATCATTTTTAGAAGCTGTTCAATTTTAGAGATCAAGTACTTTTTTTCTTTTTCTTTTTTTTTGGGGGGGGGGAAGGCTGGTCACGTATATTAAGAGCTCAAGATAGAATAGTTTATTATCTAACAGAGTGGTGTCATGCACAGAGCTACTTGTCGGAAGGTGTTATTTACTTGAATCATCTGATAATGGTGCTGTATGGCATAAAGGTTCATTGAAATGTATTACTCTCTGCAGTTTGCAAACAACATCTGAAAAATGACTTTAAAAAGCCATTATATAGTACATTTTGCTTAGAAAGGATACGTTGCTTTGTATTCTCCAATAGCATTGATGTACCTTCAGTGTGAGTGTTAATTCATTCTGTGCGGTTCTGATAGGTTAATTGGGGGGAAAAATGTATGGATCTATTCTAAATTGCAAGGGATAAAACTAGCATCATATTGGATTGGGAGGAAAGCAACTAGTCTTTGTCTGATCTTGCTGGGCTGAGTCAGCTGATCTGATCTGAATTTCTGACCTAGTTTTAGTACGATACTTAGCGGCTGTGCTGAGAAAATAAGGTTAATATGCTGATCAGTAGTGGAGAGTAAGCCACAGTGAATACATTAGTGTATGTATATTTTGTATCTAATTTTTAGGCTTTTTTTCCCCTTTCATCTTCTATTAGTCTTCCCATGCTACTTGATGACTGTCCATTCAGAAGTCTGTCCAGACCAGCACTGGCTTATTGCCCGCAGAGCTTGTGAATTGCAGATGAGGTTCTGAAGCAGTAACGTTTTCCCGGGGAACGCGGTGGCCGCGCTGCCCAAAGCCCCTTTGGCACAGCACGGTGTGTGCTGCAGGCAGGGAACAGGAGGCACCAGGTGTGCTCCGCTGCGCGTGCGGGGAAGGGGTTTTCAACTTGCATAGGACACCTGTGGTAACAGGCAGGAGCTTCCTGGCGCACCCGTAATTGAAATGTGTACATTTTAGATACCTCACACCCGTCATGCAGAGTCTCGTGCAGTGCTAGTCTTAACTGCATGTGCACCTGAGGAGCTGGTATGAACGTACCCGCCTTGTCCTCCCTTTCCACACCGAGCCAGGTCGCGTTATCCTGGGCAGAGACTGGTGCTGAGGGAAGTGAGTGTTTCAAAGCTGTGGCCTCTAGACTCTGGGTCTCACTGAAGATACTGCTCCTGTCGCGTGTATTGGTGCCTTGATCCGCAACGCTGCGAAGATGCAACAGCTCTGCCGCAGAGTTCATGGCATGAGGGGGCAAGAATTTATCCCTGCTAAAGCCTGGCCTCAGCCACCAAAGCATTTCCCTCTGCTCCTGCTGGTTCCTGCGCTTGCAAGTCCTTGGGAGCAGCGCCGGGGCCCACGGCGAGCCCCGTTACCGCTCGGGTACCCCTCGCCGAGCGGTGCCGCGCGGATGCGGCGCGGGGAGGAGCAACTCGGGCGAGGGGCAGCGCCGGGGCAGAGCTAAGCTCCGGAATAAAGAAGGTATTGTGGCCAACAGCTGTCATCCCGACCTCTCCTTCCCAGGCACATCAAATATTGACGACTAACCCAGCGGCAAAAGTAAGATAATATTTTTCCTCTTGCCTTATTTCCTTCTTTTTTATTTATTTATTTAGTTTGTAATATTGTGGAGGGAATTGGGTTTAAAGCACTATCCATATGTTGTTTTCTGTAGTCTCTGTCCTTAGGATTTGGGGTTTTTGTAAACAAGGCATAAGGTGTGTGTGTCCTTGAGCTCAGAGTTAGGTGTTATCAAGCATGGGTGACAGCAGGCAAGGATAAAAATATTTCTATGCATGGGATTACTCATTGCTTATAAGCTCCGTTCTTCTCCGCAAAATAATTTCTTTATGAACTTAGCATTTACAAAAATCTTAAT